ATATTAATAAAATTATACTCATTAGATGCGATTTTAAATGAAATGAACAAAGGACATTATTTCCACCAGATTCAATCGTTTCGTGCAAAAACAAAAATCGCATCTTTGTATGGTAAAGTTTATTTTTATATATTTTATATATAAAGTTATATATGGTGTAAAAAGACATTAAAAATATAAAAATATAAATAAAATTAAATTTTGTTGAATATCTTATCTTTGTACACACATTTTATACATTGGTTAAAGGTGCAACACTCCCTGGTCAGAGGTATAACATGGTATTGTACTTATGACCAAAATTCAATTTTTTTCTAATGTTAAAAATGATGTACACACACACAAAAGATAACAATTTAAATTTATAAAAAATATCTGTTAGTGTCAACACTTGAAAAAATGTTTTAGAATATTTTAAATTTTTAGACATTAAAATACAACTTGCACAAGAATGTCGATATTATAGTTAAAGGTACACCACCTTCCTCTACTTAAGAATTACAGAATATTTCGTTACTGACATGAAGCGAATATTGTCATAATTTGGTTGTACGGTCATGATGCACGTACCCGGAAAATATATTTTTCACATTTGATTCGTATTTTTACGTCGTAATTATAACGGTCACTGCTGTTTTCAAATGCACGTCGTTCCGTAACTCAACTTACCCGATTACATCAACTCTTGCATAATTTCGCATAGAAGGCCGAGGCCCGTGTGTCGGGAATGTCGATTTTTGCTCATTGTTGCCGGACGCACACGCCGCAAGGCGCGAGTGCTTTACGAGAGGACCGTCCTTTCTCACCGGACCGGCGCATAATTGGCTTCGTGTTTTTCGGAGTGTTACGATGTTTGCGCGCCATGTACAGTCGTATCACTATTTCATAATTAGCAAGAAAGTTATTATGCGTACCTCTTGCATCCCCGCGACCCGTGAAAAACAAGCAATGCAATGTCATTATTATTTTATTAGTCGCAACGGTTACAAGTTACAACACGTATCGCGACGTGACAGTTTTTTGATTGTCTTACGTCTTGTTATTGTCATGTGTACTAATTTGCGTGTACATTATACCGGCGTGTGCCAGAGTTGGAAATTGCAACACGAGCTAATCTAAAAGTATAAAAGTCGAGACTGGAAGAGTCGAATAAAAAACTTGAAATTTACAGTAAAATAATTGAGAAAGGAATCATATGGAATGAATCAAATATCAGGAAGAAACGTAATCTGATATGGTAAAATTAAAACTTAGTATTGTGTCACATCAATTTAATTAATTAATTGATATAAGATTCGGAGATTGTTCTTGACTGTTGTTTTATCCTTAAATAATATCCTTCTTATGTTTCATTGCGATGTTACGTTATTTCAGTCCACTATGATTTCATAAGCCGTAAACACCTTTGATAGGAACATCGAACCTTTGTTTTATCGTCGACATCGAACCTCGGCCACGGATACTTGGTTCATGTATCAAAGGGATCCGAGGGGACTCCTAATTGGCAATTAATTTAAGCTCGGGTAATCGTCGGTTTGAGTTTAACGACAACGAATACCTCTCGATGGAACAAACGGACGGAAAAATTATGAGCATGATACTTGCGCTTGAAGACTGGTCGTTTGCTTGTTATCGCATCGGACAATTTCGCTCTAACAGAACTTAGGCCAGAATAATCCAAGAATGCGTAATGTAAATCCTGTTATTGTATATATGTGAGCTATTATTTTTAATCACGTGTTGATTTCAAATTATATGCGTATATAAGTTTGTACACGACACAAAAAAAAAAGGGAAATAAGAATGTAATACATCACTTTTTTTTATAATATATGGTAATATAGGTATATAGAGAAATAAACTCTTATAAATTGAACCTTAGAATAAAATTCTTAGTTATTTTGAGAGATTTTCTTTCTGATAGCTTCTCTATTTAAATTGACTTTCTTCTTTTTCTATTAATTAATTTGATAGTTTTATATTAAAAAATAAAGAACGTTTCATGATGACATTTAAATTGAAATAATTTAGATAATTAAAGTAAAATACTTTTTATATACTCACATAGATATGTTAAAAATTGAAATTTGCTTAAGGATTTCCATTATTTCTTATTTCTCGTTGTTATAGAAGATTCGTGCGAGCGCGAGCTAAGTGAAAATAATATAAGTGAAATGTAAGCAGGCACATAATTAATTTCACAAATTGTCCAAACCCACATCACGGATTTCACGCGCACATAAGTCACGCATTTTACGCACAAGTGCGGGTCCTAATTTTCGTGCCACCCTTATGCCGCGCATTCGGCGCTATAAAAATTCCAGTCTAGCTGGTCTGGAAGAGACTCGCGCGGCCGATGAATTATCTCCTCGGTGGTCTACTGATTTTATTTTGATGAATTTCGAAAGGGAGAGAGGTGCCCGCGGCCATGGGGCATTAGTCACGGTGTAATTGGCGGTGGGAGGGCGGCGTACAACACACCAACCTGCCGTCAAAGAATTCCTTGCGCGGGAATTCCGCTCGATGAGACTCCATGCCACGTTCTTCACCGATTAATTGATAAATCGATCAAGTCGTATACTTAATTGCATTACATTAAATGAATTTTATATAATCCATTTTACCTTTGATCCGTTTTGCTCTGTTTTATCTTTGCATTCTTGGATTTAGTTTTATCTCTTCTTGTAACGAGTAGGATTTTTTGCGCCATATAAAATTTATTATATTAAGCTTTATATATGTAAGTTAGAGAAATCATATTGTGTAAAAAATATTATACAATTCCATTAAAAAAAGTGGAGCGACCTTCAAATCTAAAAAAATATAAGAAAAAATTTTTTGTTGCTCATCATAAAATGTACCCCTTCGATTCGAACAACTTTCTCTTTTAGTATTTTCTCGTATCATTAAAAACAATGGAGATATTTTAGATAATCAAGTTAGAGAAACACTCTGTATATGAAATATGTTCACATACATGTCCGTATATCCTTCTTTCTTTTGTAAAATTATTGCAACAAAAATAATAAAATAAGCAAAAAGCATAAAAAATAATTACAAGGATAATTTTCGTATTGTGTGTTTAAAAAAAAATCAAGTTTGGATAAATGTAAAAAAATTATACATAACTATATATAGAATTATGAGCAATTCTTTTATATTTTCTCAAATTTGATTTTTTCTAAAACAAACAATACGAAAATTACTCCGTAAAATATTTATATATATGTTTATGCATATTTATATATACATATATACATCTATATATGCACGAAAAATTTTTTATCAGGGCTGGGTTTGGAAAGACGCTATTAGCACTATTTATGTCATTCTATCTTCATCGTCTATTATACGTGAAACAAGGATAATATGACACAAATAATGCGTTGATAGCGCGTTCCTCGAACGTAGCCAGATATGACACATATGTCACTAATTTTTAGACATCCATACCTTTAGGGGGGATTCTTATTTTTTGAGCGAAAAAAATTGATTTTTTTGACCAAAATATAAAGTCAATATGTTTGAATTTTGGAACATTGTTTTACTATATTTAAATATAATTACAGTTTTTTTTTATTAAATTGGAGCCAATATTGCGCCTGTTATCTCTCCTTAAATAAGGTGTCGTGCGAAGTATCTCCGTCACTGATTGGCAAGATACCTTCCGTCCCGGTCATTTGAAATATAATATAAAAGTCTGATAACGTTTAATTTTATATACATATAGTTATCGTTGGATGAACAGGCAAAAACAATTGATAATTGGGAAAATGGCGGCTTGTCAAATAAAAATCATCGATTTCGCTCTAAAAATTGACTGAATTTTTTGCAATAAAAATAAAAGTATATAAAACGGATTGTTTTCCTTTTTCATTGAACAATAAAGGGATGTTTCCTCAACATGCAGTTCAAAGCGGAAGATGATCAATCTATTAGTTCCGTAGATATCATGCCAACCAGTCGCGAAAAAGCTGTTTCGAGAAAAACGTATTTAAAGATTCAAGTGTAGTTTACAAATGCAAATCGAACACTTACAGTATTTTTTGCTAATTAGCTACATCAGAGCTATATAATAATCCTTTTTCTTGCTCAAAGAATTGATTTTTATTCAATTGTTGCTCTCTTCGATAAATCCGAGCTTCTTTAGCCACCTCGAGGCTTTGTCTTGCCGATTTCTTCAAACGTTGCTCGTCACGTGTAAATATGAAAATTTCTGTTTCGTACGCGTTCGTTTAGTTCCATAGACTATTGAGCAGCGAAAATTTTAGTTGCGCCTGTCCATGACTACACGCAAACACGGATGAAAATGAACACAGATAGATTAACGCAGCTCATTGCGAACTTCCTTTGATTCACATTTCGGATTAACAATTAAATGTTTACGAAAATTAAATTCTTTTCACGAATCTATTTTTCAAACTAAATTGTAAAAAATTATGATATTTTTTTCATAATATTCGTTTCACATTATTCCATCGTATGATCGGTTTTTATTAACATATCACTGCTACTTAGGCCCTACAAGAATAAATTTGACATTTTCATTAACTTTCTATAGGCGACACGTATGACAAGTGCGACCTTCAATTGCTTTCATCTCAGTACTGAAACCTGAATCTCATTGCTATTGCACAAGCGTAACAACGTCAGCTTTTAGTTCAATATGTATAGCATCAATTTCAAGAAATTCTATTTTCAATTCGTGAGTATACTACCTTAAATTCAATAAAAACGTAAATAATTAAAGTTATTAAAAAAATTAATTTACTGAACGGTTTTGTCTTCTGAACGCATTGTGAACTTCACACGTCGATGATTCTATGTCTGACAGCGTTCAATTGTATTTCCTAGAAAAATTTTATGTACTGGAAAACTCCCATCTATGCATATATTATACCTAGTAAAAAAATGACATCTTTATCTTCAATTTCTTTCATCATCGGTTTGTCATTATTATTAAGAATAGTCATAATTATACTTGATCGACTATTCTGTTGTCAGTCGCTGTTCTTTACTACGACATCACTCATGTGACCCTAAAAAATAAATAATTTTTTATATATTAAATGTATTGTGGTATATTACAATAATCTATATTATAATATGATATCATGAATATATAACAAAAATAGGAAGACAAATATAAATCTGTTAATGAATTAAAATATTATATCATAAATGATCTTACATAGCATGTGTCTATCAAGTGCTTGTTTTCGCTTGTAGCTTTTGTCACACTTTGAACATTTATGCGGCTTTTTATCGCTATGTACATGGCTGTGTTTGTATAGGATACTTTTAAAAGAAAAAACTTTGCCGCAAACCTACACATTTATAATTACAGAAATGTAAAAATAAAAACAATCAAATGAGAAAAAAATGAGAAAAAGTACTAATAATTTTGTAGCACATACGTCGCAAATATATGGATTCTTGCCTGCATGGGTTTTTGTATGCTGTTTAAGGACTTTTAAACGTTTAAACGTAGCTGGACATGTCTCGCATTTAAACGGATTTCCATCGATATATGAATGCTTCGTGACTAAATGATTATTCAAATCCTGTTCATTAATGAAGCCCTTCTTACAATCGTTACAATTGTTACGAACATTGAAATGCATTTTTTTCTTGTGTCTGTTTAGACTCGATATCTGACTGCAAAGTATTTATCATGTGTTAATCATTAATTTAATTAAAGAGATTATTTAATAATTCCTATAATTTTTGTTACTCACTTAAATACTTTTTTACAAAACTTGCATTGATAAGGTTTTTCACCTGAATGAATAAGCAAATGACGACGTAAATACGATTTGCACTGAAACGTGTTACGACACGTTTTGCATCTGTAGGCGATCACGTTTGTATTATCTCGATTTTGAACCATTATAACATTATGCGTCGTCGAAGATCCTTTAACCACTAGTTTCCCACTGGAGGACGAATTCGATTTGATGATACCATCTTTTCGTGACATAACGCAGAGACTGGAAGCCCGATTCGGCATTTGTTTGGGATCGACTTTAACCCCCTTGGCGCTAGTTACTAAAACAGGCAGTTGGCTAGATTTCACTACATCTGAAGATTGCAATCCTAATGACGTTGCCAGATCAGTGGATGAAACCGAGGTTTTGTTGGATCCATTCGACTGCGCATTAGCGCGATTGAATGCACGTTGGATCACGTCGCTACGACCCAATAATCTTTCGTCTTCAGATTCCCCAGTCCATTCATCATCATTGTTCGTATCGTCTGTCGTTCTCTTTGAGGTACTGCTTCCTCCTTCCGAATCACTCTCCGAATCATCGATCCTCCTTTTATCTAACAATTCATTCTCTTCATCATTTATCGAGCCACACCATTGCTTGACTTGATCTATCTCTTTTGATTTATTAGACCGCATTGGGCGTCCTGCTTGAGCCACAGTACTTGGTCCAGGCTGACTAGTCTCAGCTTCTATTGCTGATTTTTGCAACGGCAAACTCACACGTCTGACGACTTTTGTATTAGCCTTCTGTTGCGCTGCTTTAGACTCCTTTTGCTTGGCGAGACTCCGCTCAAATTTATCCAATAAACTTTTGGATGCTGCTACAGCCTCTGCAGATACCCATATATAGTTTTCATGTGGATAGCCTTTCCATTTGATTAAGTATTCCGAGCATCTTCTTTTAATATTAAAACGTTTGGCTAATATTTTATTGACAATATATTCTTCGTTACTTAGATCTGCATCTTCTTCGATAGTTGCTTTGCCAGGCTTGATTTTGGGCTTGATCGATGGTTTCAGTCTTGGTTTTTCTTTCTTGTCTACTTCAATTTCCATAGATTCATTCTTCTGTGTTTTTGTTTCCAGTGATTTTGCAGAATCTTTTTTAGCTCCGCCTGTTTCTTCCGGTTGTCTATTTCTAACTTTACGAACTATTATCGGTTTGGCACCTTCGACATTGGTATTTGATTGCATCAGGGTATCCTGCATATTTGCGTCATTAATTTTTGTAAAGGTTTGTACAGTTTTTCCCACTGTTTCCCAAGCCTCCTGCACTTTCGTATCCATCTTACACCATTTCTGGTACAATATCCAATCGTTAGATGCCTCCTTGTCTGAACTGTCTTGGACTTGTGTATCCTTCCATGATAGAAATGCCCATACTTGTGCTTTTTGTTCGATGTCGTTGGTGTCACTAATACGTGACGTTTTGGAACAAGCTCCCTCCTTTGTGCAATGTTCTTGAAACTTTTCGACAAAATGAAAGACAGAATGACACTGTCCACATACCAGTACATCTAATCGTCTCATTGCTTCTTCCGCTACTTCAATAACTGTGGGTTTATTACTGATGGCTAAAGGGCCATCGTCTCCCTCCATTCTGTATACGATTTTCGTCACGCGATCTCTTTTATACGGTGGAACTGACGAACGGCTGGATTTTCCTTAGCCTGGAAAATGATTTATCTTCAGTATGTATCTCATTATTATGTCGTTTCAAAGCTTGTGAGGAAGGAAAGTGCTTCTCTTTAATATTAATGAAGATGATTATTAAAAAACAAATGTGGAAATGGTAACACACACACACACACACACACACACACACACACGCGCGCGCGCGCGCGCGCGCGCGCACACAAAACGGTACTGTTGAAATAATACAAAGATATCCAAAACTCTAACAATATTAATCACGAACTACATAAATCTTACCGCACTGTTGAGATACATTTTTTTATCCATTATTTTTAACTGTTGATTCAAATATTGCGAAACTTGAGATTGATAAGAGTATTCCCTTATTTTTCAGATAGGACTCTCAAACTCTTTAAAGGGATGCTGGATCGACGGTCGAACTTGATCGAAGTCGACAGTACAGATTTTTTAAAATTCCAAATTCAATAATAGTGACATCTTTCATTCACTTTTTATACTTAAGGGGATCCTAAAGATCTGTATTACCGACTAAACACGTATAATTTTTGTATAACGAAT